ATCGGCAATAACACGGCGAATGTTGTCTTCCAAATGGTCAAGCGTTTGTGGCTTATCCGCATAGACCAATGACTTTACATAGCCCCACGGAAAATAGTCTAGCGGTGTTAAATCACAAGATCGTGAAGGCCAATTCACAGGTCCAAAACGTGAAATTAGGCGACCAAACGTGTCTTTCAATGAATCGATTGTGGCACGAGCTGTGTGACATGTTGCGCCGTCTTGTTGGAACCATAGCTCCTGGACATCATGATTGTTCAATTCAGGAATGAAAAAGTTAGTAATCATGGCTCTATACCGATCCCCATTGACTGTACCGTTGTGGCCTTCATCGTTTTTGAAGAAGGATTCCACCAGCCCATAAAGCGCACCAAACAGTCAGTTTTCTGGATGTAACGGTGATTCGACATACACTTGTGGATTAGCTTCACTCCAAATGCGGCAGTTTTGTTTGTTGACGTAGCTATTCAACCAGAAGTGCGCTTCATCGCTAAACAAAATTCGCTTATGAAAATCGGGAACAACGGCAATCTCGTTTTGGGCCCATTCGACGAATCTACGCCTTGCTTGATGATCGTTTTGATAAATTGCCAAACCAAACTGTGAATAAATCACTTGACAGCTGTTAAATCGGTCGCCATCTTGGAAAGTAATGCCAACTTAAACTTCTATACCTGGAAAAAAAACACTCTTTATATATTAAGTTAGATACGAACAAAATCCTTGCTAGTAGTATTAAATATTATTGCAAACTTGGAAACTCAAATGCATAGTTTAAAACAATAATTACTAGTTTTTATTGAAATAAATTACATACTTTTTTTTCATTTTTAATACACATTTAGAAACAGTGGAAACTTTTATAATTGATTTAAAATTTTAAAACTTACCAGAAGAAGGTAATCGTGAAAGTTCAAGTTCATTTAATATCGATTACTCGACTATCGATAACTTATTCGTTAGTCTACTTTTGAAATCAATAGTTATCGTGGATCAGTACAAAAAAACGTGATAGGTTCGATATCCTTTGTTGAACAAAACTAATGACATTCGTCAGAGTTCTGACAGAACTACCGATTGTAGTATTAAAAAATTATTAAACTTCATCTAGCATTATTTGTAATAAATCGATATTAATTGATCAGTAAACCAAGAGGAATATCGATGTTATCAAATACCCTGCAAGTATCGATAGCGTTTTCTGAACAATCAAATCGTTAATGCTAAAGATCGGTCATCTACTGATAGATTGCATCCTATTATTTTGTACAATAAAAATCGATACGATAATTGATATTATAAAATAATACTATGGTATCTATTATTTTATTCCTTTGGGCAATGATAATATTAAAAATATCGATAGCACTCTACTGATAGTACTGCCAATAAAACTCTGAAAAATGCATTACTAACATACGACCTAAATCAACAGTAATAAATAAATGAAAAGATCTATCGATGTAAACATAAAACGAGGTAATAGCAATAGTTTGTTGTTGTTGAACAATACTATTGTTGATGCTATGTTGTCAAATATATCAAATGTATTTGCCTGTATATAGTATATCATTCTAACAATAAAAAAAAACTATTATTTTTCATAAGTAACCATTTTTGATCAATGATCAATGTGGGTCAATAAAAACAACGTTATTATTGAATAGGATAATATCAAAAGATTTAGCTATCAAATAAATAAAGGACTAATTTGGCAGAAAAACTGAAATTGACAATATTGAAAGAACCACGAATAAATATATTAAAAGTATACAATGGCCCTTCAAAAGCGTTCGTACACATGCAACTTTCTGTAAAATTAAAAATTTTCGATAAATAAAAAGCGATAATAATATTTAGAAATTGTATCTCAAATAATATTTCTTCATTTTTTCTTCTCCAAACAGACATACACCCGTCGGAACCAAAAATGTTATACATTTCCTATAATCTCAACCAATTTTCTGTCAATGTTGAATTTTAAGAAACGTAATCCTTAGAATTTAGTTGGAATAATGAAATATGGAGGTGAAGGTGTTCTTTTCTGTGTAGAAGTGTAAATAGGCTTCAAAAATGGTTTATTTAGAATTTTTTGATCGTATTTAGAATCATGAACTTTATTTAAGAATTTTAAGGAATAATTTGAAATTATCCGCCAAAAATTTGGGTATCGGGATAGATTTCCTTTTTTAACAAGATAACACTGCTCTCAACGTATGCCTCTGGTGTCTCTATAACTATCCCCAAATTCTGAAAATACCTCCTAAATCACCTGATTTAAGCCTAATAGAACATATTTGGTGAGAATTTGAATTTAAAAAAAGAAAACATGACATATAAAAATGAAACATGAAGTAAGAACAATAATAACAGAAGAATGGAGGAATATCGATGCAGAAATTATAAAAAAACTGAAGAAATCTGTAGCAAGACGTTTAAAGGCTGTTGCGGATGCCAAAAGATATTCTATTAAATACTCAATTAAGAAAGAAACGCAATATTAAACACAATATTTAAAAACTATGTTGAGATTTCTTTTTCAGTGTACGAAGACTTTCGTGGCATAATTTTTTAGTAGTTTTTTTTACTTAAATTTTTTTAAATAAAACCTATTTAGATAATAAATACAGTAAGATTGTTATTTCAACAAGAACAAGTTGTAGGTGTAAAATAATTCCGATGTATTAACTTTTATTATTCGAAAACATTAAAAAAATTTTTAGAAAATTTTAAGTGTACGAACACTTTTGAGGGCCACTTGTATAAAATTTCTTAAGGTATCCGACTACGTTTGGAACCGTAATTTTAAAAAAGCGCATAAATGGATAATTTTCGTGATATTTAGTGTCACTAAGATTAGAATACATGCATAAAATTGTTTTAAGGACATTTTGACAAAAAAATTTTATTTAAAAATAATATTTTGGCAATATTATTGGAATAATCTTTTTTCCAAATGTTCTCCTTTTGTGAAAAATAGTTCTATTATAATAATATTTTGCCTGTATATTGCTCAGACCTCTCTACAGAGGAAAATAGCTAGTGCGACATTTCAATCAATCAATACTCCCTGTTCACCTAAAATGCCCGAGTCAACTAGAATTTTTGAAAAATTCACATTATTTTCAGAGTTACCCCCAATTGAAATAATTATTGGCGTTTTTTTTCTTAAAATTGCTCCCCTCTGTTGTCGTAAAATATAAATAAACCCACTTCTAAGTTATATGTGTCAAAAATTCTAGTTGAGCCTCTGAACAGAGATCTGAGCTATATACAGGCAAAACATTATTATAATAGAAGCATTTTTCACAAAAGGAGAACATTTGGAAAAAAGATTATTCTAAGTTAATTTTTTGCCAAAATATTATATTTAAATATAATTTATTTTTTCCAAATGTCTTTAAAACAATTTTATGCATATATTCTAATTTTCATAGATGATATAAGAGCAGGAGCTGCATTATATTTTCATTTCATTCTCATCGTCAGAATCTACATCAATGAAATTTTTTTGAGCTTTGAACAAACTATAAAATGTCTTTGTCTGCCATAATTAGGACTGTACACACATTATTATCATTTATTGCAATGAAATTTTCAGGTAATACAGTAAGACAATCCGGCTGGTGTTTTCTTTGTTTTGTTTATACCCAGAAGGGAAATCGTTTCGTGTTAAGTGATTTTCATTTTGTGTTAAGCAAAAAAAAAAAAAAAAAAAAAAAATGCAGGAAACTGCAATGTAGTTTGTCGGGACCGTTGTTATTTCGTGTTAACCGATATTTTGTCTTGAGTGTTTCACTGTATTTACAAAAAGAAGGAGAAGGAAAAGATTTTTATAAGTCAATTTCTACTTAAGTCAACAAAGAAAATTTTATTTTAGTTACTTCTTATTAAATAAAGGGTGTTTTTTAGAGGTATAGAACTTTAAATTGCAATAAAACAACGATGTATTATTCGATTGACATGATTTTTTTTATTCGAAAGATAATCTTGTGGCATTACATTTTAAATATGATGTCTGGCATATGACTGCCACGGCGTGCTCGGATGTAGTCCAATCTGGACGTCCAATTTTCGATGACTTTTTCCAACATTTGTGGCCGTATATCGGCAATAACACGGCGAATGTTGTCTTCCAAATGGTCATGCGTTTGTGGCTTATCCGCATAGACCAATGACTTTACATAGCCCCACGGAAAATAGTCTAGCGGCGTTAAATCACAAGATCTTGGAGGCCAATTCACAGGTCCAAAACGTGAAATTAGGCGACCAAATGTGTCTTTCAATGAATCGATTGTGGCACGAGCTGTGTGACATGTTGCGCCGTCTTGTTGGAACCACAGCTCCTGGACATCATGATTGTTCAATTCAGGAATGAAAAAGTTAGTAATCATGGCTCTATACCGATCCCCATTGACTGTAACGTTGTGGCCTTCATCGTTTTTGAAGAAGGATTCCACCAGCCCATAAAGCGCACCAAACAGTCAGTTTTTCTGGATGTAACGGTGTTTCGACATACACTTGTGGATTAGCTTCACTCCAAATGCGGCAGTTTTGTTTGTTAACGTAGCCATTCAACCAGAAGTGCGCTTCATCGCTAAACAAAATTCGCTTATGAAAATCGACCATTATTTTCGAAATAAAATTGCACAATTTGAAAGCGTTGTTCAGGCGTGAGTCTATTCATGATGAATTGCCAAACCAAACTGAGAATAAATCACTTGACAGCTGTTAAATCGGTCGCCATCTTGGAAAAGTAATGCCAACTTAAACTTCTGTACCTGGAAAAAAACACTCTTTAGTTACAATTAATATAAATATTTATACAGAATCACACTATTAAGTGACAAAACAGAAAGCGATTTTCCTTGCAATTTTCCATTTTCCATTCTATATAGGGCGTTGGACTATTTTTTTGTTACTGTTTATTCATTCATAAATTTAATTATTTTAATAAAATAGCATAGAAAAAAAAGAAATCACAACCTCAGAAATTGGGCCATCTCAGGCGTGATTCGAACCCACAACCTTTGGATTAGAAATTCAACGAGCTATCCATTGCACTACACAACGAACGAGTTTCCTTTTTATATATGGTGTTGGACTATTACTTTTCCTTGTTACTATTTATTCATTAATTAATGAATTATTATTTGAAAAAACTGTATTAACATCAAGTGTCATCCACTACAAGTTACCACTTTGTTTAAAATTGTAAGCCACAAGCAATAACTTGAATCTTCGGGGTAAAAAAACCCGACTAGGAGATTCATTAAATTATATTTAAAGTAAAATTATATAATATAAAATCTATTCTCTTTTGTACTAAATATCTGAATAATCCATCAAAAGTAGAAGTTTCGCCGTTTTGTGTGAATTCCCTGCTCCCTTAAGAGTGCATTCTTTTTCAGAATTCTTATTTAAAAACATTTGTCGTTCTATAAGGGAAAAAAACTAATCACCAAGGATAAACTTTTCAAGCAGAACCCCAAGATTACAGGTTAGAATATCTGGATTGCGTTGAAACCGCGTTCTCACAGAGCTTTAAATCCAATCCAAAAACACTGAAACGAAAATGAATTTTGAGCCTGTATAGTACGAATTAATCCGACGATCCTTTCAAAGACGCTCTCAGGTGTAGAGCAACGCTTGATCGATTATTTTTATCCGCAAACAACTGCCGTGGATTTACCTGCCGAAAAAGAATAATCCTGCTATACGTCTCCAGTAAAGGAAAAAAGGAGAATGATTCGATAGGTAATTTCATGCCTTACATCACAATGGTGTAAATTGTACAACAATCTTCTAAGACCTTTCCCAAAGAAACTGTCTTAGGCGGTGTAATTGGAAAATGATATAGTCTTTGTTTACTAAAAGATGAAATAACGAATTACGCACGAAATTATTTGTGGAACAGACTGAAAAAGTGTTGTTTACATAAGGCTTACTCAACAGCCTTTTGAATTCTTGATTCGAAGCAGAATGCGCTGAATATATTCGAATACAGTGGGTGATCGGTTAACGAACATAATCCGTTCCAAGACTATGTTCTCTATCCGAATTGTTCGTTAACCGATCATCGATTCACCATAGACTTCTATGTGAAATCGATTAATTCGTTTTGGAGACCCTAAAAATTATATTTTAAAAAATGTATAGTTTCCTAGTAAGTTTTTTAAAAAATAATACATACATATAGCCTTGCATATTAATCAGTCCTTTTCATTTTTTGCTGAAGGGGGCGTTGAAGAACATGTCCAATGTCGATTGCTTTTCTCTCTTTTTCGGAATTTTCCGGAAGTAATTAATAGCATTGTCGTTGTAAAGATCCCCAACCCGACTGACATCAGCTTGGTTTGGGTGCCATTCTAAGACCATTGCACTGCCATCCGCCCACTTTTTCAAAAGATCTTTAATGGCAGATGTCGGCATTGGTCCTCTTTCGTCTTCCTCTTGTTCAGAAGGAGACACATTTCGTTGTGTTTCTTGGTGTTCTTCATTCAAAATTTCTTGGGGTTCTTCTATCGTCAGTTCATCTTCATGTCCCATTATGAGTTTTTCTATGTCATCCTCGTTCACCTCCAATTCCAGATCCCTAGCAGTTGTCAAAATTTCATCCATAATTTAAGGGGTGTCTCCCTGATCACCTCTGAATATGTATTCATTGTCCAAACACAAAAAATCTTTCTTGAAAGTGTTCGTTATCCGAATATGTGTTCATTATCCGAACACAAAAATTTTTCGTGAAAGTGTTCGTTAACCGATCACCCAACGTAGTAATTTTGATTTAACGTATCCGACTGTATATATATGTTCTGAATCATTATTTTGCAGAAGCGTACAAATGAATATTTTTTTTGAATATTTATTGTAGCCTGCATTATATATAAAATATACATATGAAATTGTTTTAAGAATATTATGACATGAAGATATTATTTAAATACTTTTGACAGCAAAAATGAAGAAATATGACACATATTCAAAACATTCTCCTTTAATGGAAAATGCCTCTATATTAATATTTTGCCTATATATATCTTTGACTCAGGGACGTAGTGACTTCGGAGTTAGTCCTGAAGAGGCCCTGTATCAAAATTCCTCAGGGGACCTTCTATTCCTTTAGAGAGCAGTGGCTAATATAGTTTACATTGGCCACATATTAAAATTTTTTCTCCAAGCGGGTGTTGGATATTTAGTTTATCTATATGCGTTAATTGAGGCTAAAACGCATAAAAATTAATACGGATGGCAGCACACATTTTTTTTGCATTTCATGTCCTCTGATGGGTAGTTAAACACAGTTTATCTCGGTGAAAATCTACAAATTGTATTTTGATTACCATAAATAAAATTTATGATCTTTGAAAAAAATTTCAACATGTCTTAAGTATACTTTTCTCTCATCTGAATAAATTAAGCAAATTTGCAATTAAAAAAAGTTTTATTTTGGTTTTTGGAAAGCTTTTATATGTGGATAGAGGCTCTATCCACCTGCCCACATAGAACAGAAAAATGACCAAGAAATTTTCGCTTTTCCTCCACTCGAGAGAGAGAGAGAGAGAGCACTTAGAAGCATGTGAGAATGTTAGGGGTTGGAAATATAAACCAACTTTGTTTAGAATATATAATGTATTACAAGATTCTTGGGTTCGAAAATTTTTCATTACAGCTTTTCTGATCGGAGAAAATGTTTGCCTATTATAAAGTTTCACATTAAATAGCTCATTAAATTAGTGTGAAACAACTAATTAAATCTTCAAAAATATTACTTTAATTCTAAATCTTTGTACTAAAATTAAATAATGTATAAAATGTGGATATATACCAATTTCATTGTATGTTTTAAGTATATTCTATATATATTCTAATTATTCAGGTATATTTTAAGTAAGTATTCTATGTTGTACAATTATTATATTATTATTTAATTACACTTATACTTAGTGTTTAATTGTTATTGAAATAGTTATCAGCATAAATGTTAATTTTTCATAAAAAATTCATTGTGATATGATTCATTATTTCTGTCCTGAGGAGTAAGTTAAATGTCTTAAGAGCACAGTGGCTACCCAGGAAACCACCACCCAGGAAAAAAACCCTCGATCAGATATTTTTTTTGACTAAATAACTTTTATAGAGGATGAGAACATTACATTTATCAAGTACTTTATCTCAGAAAAGTGTATTTTAGCTTTGGGCCCGTTAAAGGGTTAAGGGGCTCTTTACATGTTACAATTTTTCTCTTGCACATTTTGGGGCCCTTGAAGCTTGAGGGGCCTCGTATGATTGATCCGAACCCGGATATCTTCCTTGTGTGCGCCACTATCTGTCGGGCAATAATAACACAATAACAATATATAACATAAGACCGTATTATTAAATTTTAATAAACAATTTTTTGACCTTCTTTCCATTTTTTATTTTATTCACATGTTTTAAATAGAGCAGAAGTATGATTTAACGTCTTAGGATTCCAAATTGTGGCAATCCCTCAGTAAAATAAAAGGAAAAAATATTTTATACTAATTATGTAACGTTTAATTATGATCATTGGTGGAAAGAAACAAACAAAACAAACCACAGTATTTTACACATACTCGAATGAATATCTATTTTACATGACTGAGTTTGGGATAAACCATTTTATATGTATACGCATTTTTTCCTAACATTGTTACAACTAAGAGTAACCGGGCAATGGCGACATTCCTAGCATTCTGAGGTCACAAGAGGGGAAGGAGAGGAGTGACTTGCAGTGATGTGCTTGAATTCTTTACTAACTGTGTCACTGGTGAACAAGATGTATCACCGCAGGTGATTGTTGTTGTTCCAAGACGGTGAAATTCGGTAAAAAAAAGAATCCTCTAAGTATCACATTGCGCACGTCTTTCAATTATTTCTTCCTAGTAAATGAATTTTCTTTCCGACGGACGTGAGAAAAGTATATGATCCATGACAGGAGTCGGCAAAGTTTTAAGTGAAACAAGATAACTAAGGTATCAAAAAGCCATTTAAGCACACACGCATGCGCAAGTGCAGGAGAGAGGCATCCAGCAGCCGTTTACTATAAAGGTTGTCATGCTCCGATTAATAATTCTTGTAATATAGTTAAATAAAGCTCTACACAAAGTAATATTTCAAAAACTAAGACGAATCGAAGATATTTTATGTTGCTCAATGCAAGAACAGTTACTGTCAAAATATCATGACATTGAGAACTAAACTTTCAAACTCGAGAAAAAAAATTATGTACCAATAAGGACGTAATGCTTTTTCTGGAATATTATGTGGTCCTGGTAGGCTCTTGGACTCGTGACAGGCGTGCCATGTGTTCAGCTCTAATGCTCCTGAAGACCCGTCTTGTAGAGTGGGTTCATACACGTTAAATCTGTCGAGGCTCAAAGTCCGTGGCGTGGTATGGTAGTTTGGAAAGCGGGGTCTCGGTTAAGGTGTCGTCCTCGTCACTGGATTGAGGTTCAAAATCACGAGGTTCGTCACCAATAACTGTAGAGTTGATCTATAGTGTAACTTTAATGTATAAACATTTATAAGTAGGAATTTCATGTTAGCACTAGGAATTAAAATTGACTTTGTTTTTGTTTGTAAAAATCATTTCGATACTCTTTTAATTATTTCGTAAGCATGCCCTTAAGGCATCCGATTAAGTTCGGAACCGTGATTTTGCAAAAGCGTATAAATGGATAATATTTAGTGTCACTTAGATTAGAAAATGTATATAAAATTATTTTAAGGTTAGAGTATTACAATAAAAAATTATTAAAGTACAATATTTGGACAAAAAAAAATGAACATAGAATGACCCATTTTCAAAATATTCTCCTTTTGTGAAAAATGCTTCTATTATAATAATATTTTGCCTGTATATAGCTCAGATCTCTGTTCAGAGGCTCAACTAGAATTTTTGACACACATAACTTAGAAGTGGATCTATCCATGTTTTACGACAACAGAAGGGGAGAAATTTTAAGAAAAAAATGCCGATAATTATTTCAAATGGTTGAAACTCTGAAAGTAATGTTAATTTTTCAAAAATCATAGTTGAGCC